TAAATTGTTTAAAGAAAATTTCGAGAAAGGAAAAATTTGCCTCAAAATCTTATTTTTTAATCTATGAGGAGTAAATTTAAGACATTTTAAACGTCGAAAATGTAATCTAGTCTGAAAGGAGATGTACTTATATATTTTTTTTAAAAGGCCTTGACATGCAAATTTAAACTTTAAAGCACTTGTTGTTAACTTTAGTTTTTGGGAAGCAATTGGAAAAATTCCCAACGATTTTTGCGTGAATCATTGTGGATGTTTTAAATTTTGATTTAATACATTGGTTTGTTGTCTTCATAATGTGCAATTTGCCGCCAACAAATATTTATAAATTCTATTCCTGTTGCAATAGTAAATATTTTACATTTTGATTAAGAATCGGCTTCCTAACTTTTCCGATTTCAAATTGTATATTTGCAATAAAAAAAGTGGACTGAACGATAGTGAACAGTACAGTGCGACTCAACGCAGCTCACTTCACATTTTTCTCGAAAATCTCAAATATTCTATATATTCAACACAAAGTTATTTGTAATTACAAACGTTTCTGAGCATATAAAACAGAAAATTCTGACATTAAAAGGTTTATAGGGTACCATTGTAATTCGAACATGCCACTATACGTCTAAATCTGAAAATTTGAAACTATAAAAATTATATACATCAAATAATAAAAAAATATAAAATGTACTGAAATTTTTTTATTTGTGCAAGAGGTATTTCTAACTTTGAAAAAAAATAAGTTAACTTATTCTGCAAAGTTCCACCAAAAAACATTTTGTAACTCAACAAATTTCATCAACTTCTAAGCTGCAATTTCAATTCTAAAACACCAAGTTAGATTATCTCTTTTTTCTCAGTTTGAAATTGACAAGCTGCAGCTAAATTATTTTTGTAATTTGAGACGTTTCTATGAAAAAAAATATTAAGAGAAAATAATTCTTTAATCACTGTATCTGATGATGGAATTAACCTTAGATACTTCAAACTTTAAATATTTGATCTAGACCTAGCAGAAATCTTACAAAATTTAACCGTATTCCTGCTGGGGCCCCCCCTGTAGTTTTTTTTTACATAACTCAAAAACTATTGGTCTGACTCTGTTGAAATTTTCTGACTTTTCCTACATACCGAAAGCCCTTCCTTTAGGCCTAAAATCGGGCTTTAATACTAACTGCCTGAGTCCTCAGGCATACTGCCTGAATGACTGTTTTTTCCTGTAACAAACTAAATCTTTGTTTTGACCCACTTCCACTTGTCAGATTTTGATAAAATTTAGCTTTTTGGAAAGCCTTTGAGGAAACGAATTGCTCAAGTTTTGCGAGAAAAAAAATGCAAATTTTTTGCAAACAACCTGTCAAAAGAAATTTGCACATTTTTAGTTTTTCTTGATTAAAAATCAGGTGAATTAAAATTTTGCTAAATTTTTTGCATATTTGAAATGGCATGGTCAAGGGCTTTTCAAAAATGTATAATTTTTCATTCTTTGGAAAATTTTTTTTTGCAAACATTTTTACTATATAACTGGATTTTGCGATAAAAATTCAATTTTTGCAAATTTGCAAATTTTTTTGCAGATTCTAAAATTAAAGCACAAGAGCTTTCCAATGATGTATCATTTGTCATATTTAGACATCAAACATGGGATTTAGAGGGGGAGGGGCCAAATTGACCCCCCCCCCAGCATATCCTGGTTTTCAAGTACCCCAGCAGAGATAGGGTTAAACATTCTTCGACAGCAGACTTCAAAGTCTCTTATATGTAATATAAATTAGAGTTTGAGGCAAGTAATAAGTTCCTTATGCATTTTCCTATTCCCATGTGTAATACAAAATGACTTTTGGTTAAATTTGAATACTGTAAATATTGAAAAGGCTTTAAGCTTTAGATTATTATAACTATCTGCGTATGCATACAACTTTAAATATTATAAATATAAAAGTACATATAAACACAGCAAATATGCTAATTGCCTAAGTTGATTTTCAAGCTATTGGTAAAACTCTTTGATGTATTACAAAACTACACAAAAATACAGATACGATTGCTTACATGTACATTGTACACACTCACATAAATATAAATTTGTAAATATATATGAAATAGAATTTTGTGGATGGAATAAATTTAAATTGATACATTTCACTTCATATTTGAAATTTAAGTTTAAGGTTTTCAACTTCCAATAAAGTTTAAGTAAATACTAAATTTCCATAGATTCGCAATCTGCAAAAGACTTTCCTCAGCTTGGTATTCTAACGGGGAGCCCAAATTATATATTACAGTATAAGGACGCAAACTTTTCATATTAATGTCTACTTAAATTAAATTGCTTTTCTCAGTCCATAGCCAACTGTTTAATGGTCGTCACATGTATACATATATTAACCATTGGCCTATAACTTAAATGTTTAAATCTGACAAATGTAAGTGAGCTTCTTTTAAGAAACTATCTTGAGTGCCCAACGTTTCGTAGGTTAAAATTATTATTCAAGTAAAGTCATAAGATTTATACGGCCTCCAAAATCACAACAATACCTTTTATATTATGTTAAGAAATTCAATTGGAATTGGATTAAAACTGTCATTTCTTTCTGAAATAAATATTTGTTTTACTGTTACAAAAAATACATAGAATTTATCATTAAGATATAATCTGATTTTTGATATTTACTCATCTACCTACATAAGCATTTTCCTCAGAGCCTTGTCTTACCTATCACGCAAAAATATTGTATTGGAATGGAACTACAAAACATATACAAATATTCAAACATATTTTTTCAGAATAAAAATCAAAGATGCATAAATATGAAATATTTTTATTGGTTGGCGAATATCTCGAATAAGAATTTGAAATTAGTTTTATTGAGATGGAAATCTTTCTTTCATTGCATTTATACAGTTTAAAATAAAGAACTGAAATTAGCCATATGTTTTTTTATTTAAAGAAACTGTCGACGGTAATTTCAAGTGGTTCTTTATCAATTCCATAATAAATATGTGGCCTTACCAGTGTTATAAACTATGAGAACTGCAGTTGAAACAAAATCAATTTTATTATGACAAAACTTAGTTTTTTTATTTAAAGAGACAGACCGGTTATGTATGAGTATGCAGTGTTGTGGACAAACTCTTTATGATTCATTTGAGACATATGAAACTTTTCCACGATGTATAATTACTGGGTTTGAGTGCATAGTCGACGCTAAAAATCATGAATTTGGGTGGATTCGTTTTCAGAATCGCGTTTTTTTTAATTATTTAATAACGACGATGAAAAAATTATACAGTAAACTAATTAGATGGTTAGGAACATATTTCCTTAAAGAAATTTGTCAATAAATTGAAGTTAAAATTAATTATTTCCTTTTTCATCATTATATTGAATTTCTTATTTTCTATGAATTTTTCGCAGATTTCTACAAATTCTTCAAATGTCCTCTCTTCAACAATGATTCTAAAAAATGTGCAGAAAATCTTTGTGAATAATGAAAAACTAGAGTAATAAGAAAATAGAAACTAATAATTGCAAAATTACTTATTTTTTGATGACAAGATTAATTTCTATTTTCTCAACCTGTTCCTAAACAACTCATCAGTTTACTGTAGAATTTTGTTTACATTTTTTGTCGTCGTTATTTAATAATTAAAAAAAAACAATTCTGAAAACGTACCCACCCAAAAGTACGATTTTTAAACGTCGACTTTGCGCTCAAAATCAGGATTTACAGATCTTTAAAAAGTTTTACATGTCTCAAATTAATTCTTAAGAATTTGTCCGCAACACTGCATATTCAGTTCAACTACTGTACATAGCCGGTATGTTCCTTTAAAACGGATTAATTGGTTTAATTGTGAATCGTGCATGCAACTATTTAAATGGGGGGGTGTTGTTGTTCTCTGGAAATGCGCAAAAAGCCCGAAAAGAATATTTTAAATTGGATTATATAAAAACATCGGCGACCGGTTGTTGGTTATTGTTATCGAACCATTTGAAATGTTCTTGCATTTGAACAACAAATCTAAATAGAAATCAACGAACGGGTTTCATGTAATGTTTGTTTACTTTGAAATAAAATGCTGACGTTAGTTCTGCAAGCCAATTTAAAATAATTTAAAAAAAACTAAAACAACAACCTGGAAACTTTTAAAAAGTGTTAATGAGTTTTTTTGCTCTATCTTGTATAACTTTTATTCTGTCCTAGATCAATTAGATAGTTTCGTTATTGATTTGGATAAAGTTACGTTTTAAAGATAAAAAAGATTTCCGCAGTCACTTTTCTCATCATAAAATTGTAATTTTGGGTGTAAAGACATCTGCAAAGCAAATATTGTATCTGTAATAAAATTTTCTGAAAATCAAATTATTACAAAAGAAAAGTTTTTATTATGAAACGGAGCTGTGAAATAAGCATTACCACAAAAATACATACAGAGGCCGACTTTAAAGAATTTGAGCCATGTCTCAAATTTAAGACGCGGCTTAAACAATATTGGTTCCACTTGAAATTGTATTCAGTGTTTCAAGAATATAGCTTGCGCTCAATTGGAATCGGTTTTTGGTGGTTCAGTGACTCGGTTTAAATTCTTTGAATTCGGCCTCAGAAGAATAGAGTAACCATTAACCAAACTTGTTTTTAACTGGCAGAACTTTCTTCCAAACCATACCAAAAATACAACAGTAAAGAATTTTCCCAGAAAAGTAATATAATTTAAACGAAAATTCATTGAGAACTGATTATACTCCTTTCTATAAAACACAATAATACCATTCATACAAATTATAGAAAGCTATTCAATAATGATTACTAATTATGGCTTCTGACGCAAATTAAGCTGGTAGGTAATTTCCGAGCTGCTAGTAGGTTTAATTCCGTAATTTAATAAACCTGAAAACAAAACACTTTCTTTCAGTTTAGATTAGCATTCAATTGACTTTTCTTATTATTTCAGATTTATGAATTAACTATTTTTAAAAGAGAAGTATACAAATTTAGCTTTTCCCCATAATCTTTGTAGTTTATCACTTAATTATTTGTATTTATTTTATTTTTAAGGAAAGTAATAATTGTAAATATCTCAAAATATCTTGATTACATGAAATAGAGAAAATGAGATCGATTGAAGCAGGAATTATACTTTGTTGTCTGACCTGCTCACATCAGTTATCAACATCGGCAAACAGGTTTTTCATTATACAATCATATATGTGCATTATACAAAAAAGTCTTTAAAATAATAACCGACGATTTGTATATGCCGTTGAATTGCACATTATAAGGGGACCAATGTCGGGGGAGGCGGCAACTGGTGCAAAGGAACTGAGTTTTTGCCGCAAACTCAAATTTTCTCATACCTATATCTTTGCAACTTGAAGATGAAAACCTTTGATATTTCAAATTTAGACAATTTGATCTTACAGAAATATCAAAGGTCTACGACATTGGATTGCAAAGATATAAGGATGAATAAATTTGAGTTTGTGGCAAAAACTCATTTCCTTGTACCTTTTTTGTGCACCTCTCCTGGATGGTGCTTTTTAATATTTTTTGAAAAATGTTTAATTTTTTTTGGTATTCCAATAGCCCCAAAAAATCAGCGGACCTTTTTTCTCTCAAAAATTTTATAAAGATTGAATCACAGAATCACAGAAAATTCGCAAAATTTTAATGAGAAAATTTGCAATTTTCAGTTCTAGACTATTTTTAAAAGAAAAGTTGTTTTTCGATGGCTCTTCAGGTTTCAACTGAACAGCGTATATTTAAAATTTTAGAATATACTAAGAAGAAATGAACTAGAGAATTTAAATAACTTTGCCTTAAAAATTAGACCAGAACTGAAAATTGCAAATTTTCTTTTTACAATTTTGCGAATGCTCTGTGATTTTGTGATTCAATCTTTATAAAATTTTAGCTTTGGATAGAAATAATTTACATACCCATTTTTGCTTTTCTGAACTTTTGATTTTGAGAGAAAAAAGGTTCGCGGATTTTTTGAGCCATTGGAATACGCATGAATACAAGGTTTGTGCACGAAATTGGATAAGGCAGTATTTTATTCATGAACAATAATCACATTATTAACATATTCATAGCTTAGACAAGGTTAAAATTTTGGTTACTTTTATTAATAAAATGTGTCATGCTAAATATGTTTGAGAAAACGCTATAAAGGTGCCACCATGGAGGTGCGTTTTAGAATTACTATAAATGACATCTTTGAATTAATCTATAAATATATATTTTGCATACATTTCTCTTTTTTGCCTGTCTGTCTGTTTGTTACCTATTTCCATCGACTGTACCAAATTGTCTTAAAGGAATTGAGTTTTTGCCACAAACTCAAATGTTTTACTCTCGATATCTATATTACGATCGAATCTATATTATTCGATCTAACACCATTCATGGTTTAAATATCTCTAAGGTCTGCTACATTTCGTTTTAAAGATACAGTAATTAGAGAATTAGAGTTTTTGGCAAAGATTCAATTACCTTGTGTTCAAGAAACCCTGATTAATTTATTTCTTTCCTGAAATTGTTTCTCGAAATTTAACGAAATAGCTCGAAAAAGTGAAATAGGTCGAAATAACGAAATAGCAGGAAATATCGAAAAACCCAGATTTTCTTCAGAATTTGCAAAATGATAAAATAAATAAAAAGGGGAATACAACTACCAAAAACATAAAAAAAGATATTTTGGTTTTCAAACTCAAAAATAAAACCTGGAGACCTAAAATATTTGGCCATCCCACAAAGATAGTTGATATCAAAAAGAGTTAAAGAAACCCATTGTTAATCTTTTTTGACGGATATAAAAAAGCCGTTTGTATAATAAGAATATATGAAGCTAGATCTATTCATTTATTTATCATGCCTCTCAGTGTGGTTGCAGAAAGTTTTGCATACAAGTATACTTCTATCTATCTTGTATCTTGGTATTGCATACTGCCTTAAACTTGAATATGAGTTCCATTGAACCAAACAAATACATAAACATGACTTGCATAGTTTTCAATTCATCTTGTATATTCACTATACGTACTACGTAGTTTAGTCCTTTTCTTTGATTTATTTGGCCACATATATTTGAAATTTTTAATTATTAGACTTTTCAAATGATAAAATGTTTTATCAATCTTTGGGATATAAACCAAGAAAGTCTAAATCTAACTAATTATGTAAATAAAATAGTGGCAACCATTCTTTTTATCTGGAAATAATAAAACAACATACGACTAGGTCATTAAGAACGCCGGGTGGATTAAATGGTTGTTGTTGTTCTAAAAAAACCTGAACATACACATTCAACCCATTCCATGCTCGATGCTCATTTGGGTACAAGCTTAGGTTACAAGCGTAACAGACTATACAGTGCAATAAGGATATTTAATTTGCTATTCTTAAATTATGGTTAGAAAAAAATGTAAAGCCACTGTCTCCTACTATTTTATCCATCCTGTTTCCCCAATGATGGAAAAAAAGATAATGCTGTAAATCATGTCCTCTGCTCTTGTTGTTAAGAACAAGGCTAATATGAATTTATGTTGACACGGCTTGTTTCGGTAAAATGTTATAAAAATGTTTCAAAATAATAAAAAAAAAACATTTTATTAATATTTATTATATTTCAGCAAGTTCTGTGCAAAGGGACAAAGCATATGCATACCAGAAGATTACTCAAAGGAAACCTATATTAAAATTATAATAAAATGTTTAAAATTCCATCAAAAAATGTACTTTAACAAAAAATCTATAATAATAATAATAATCTATAATTTAAATAACTGATGGCTGATTAGTTTGATCCTCCAAATGATACTCAAACAGTGGTCAACGTAGGAATAGACATCAAAGATATTCCAAAGGTAACTAAATTGTTTAGGATTTTGTAGAGAATTTAAAATTTTTCATTTTTTAACTTGATTCAAATTCTCTGGTTTAAATACCCCTTTGCAAGAATTTGGTTACATTGTCAAAGAAAAAACTTTTATGAACGTTCTATGAAATCTACAAATTAAAGTACATAAAAAGTGACCGGTAAAGAAAAACAACAAATTAAACCAAGGAGAGGGTGAATATATAATGTACAAAGAAACTCAAGTTATTGTATCTATTTTTTCTTGCATTAACACGTATGTACCTTTATCAATGAACACTTTGTATATAATTAATTTTCAAGATTTATTTTTGACAAATTTCTAAAAAATTATTCGGCAATGGAACAGAATACATGCTGCAAACTTTGATTTGCTGATCCTTATAACTTTGCAGAATGATGTTTCATAGTCAATGTTTGAAGTGTAAAAGGTTTAAAACATCAGAAAACAAGAGATTGAGACTTGACTTGGGTCTGTAAAGGAAAAATGAAAGGAGGTATAGGCTATAACCTAATTCCTTCAGCTCTTGATCGCGACCAATGAGAGTTCTATCTGATGTTCCTGTCTCCAAAAATTGATATAGAATTGTGTCAAATGAATACGAAAATTCATATACATACAATTTTGTATAGTAGGTTAAAACAGATCGTGTTCAGCAAATATGCAACCAATCTGAAAACGAAGATATCACAGAGAAACGTAATTTTAACTTAGGTTTTCTCCAAATATTATTTTATATTTTTTTTTGTTTCTAATAGATACAATGGACAATATTATTTATACGTCCGTATTACGTTACGAGAACTTCTACCAATGAAAGTGCAGTAAAGGGGTCATGTGTCTCCGTCTGTTTCACGTGACCAGTATACAGCACTCTTATTGGTGGGAGTTCTGGTAACGTAATACAGACATATAAATAATATTATCAATAATATCTATTAAAGATAAAAATAAAAGTTATAAGATAATAATTGGAGAAAACCTAAGTTACAATTAGGTTTTTTTCTGGGATTGCTTCGTTTTCAGATTGGTTGCATATTTGCTGAATATGATCAGAAACTACTATTTCTATACCAAATAGTATATATATGAATTTTCGTATAAATTTGACACAATTTTATATAAATTTCTAGAGACAGGATCTTCCGATAGAACTCTCATGGGTCGCGATCAAGAGCTAGAGGGATTAGCTTTACCCCCTTTCATTTTTCCTTTACAGTCCCTTTAAGTCAAGTCTCAATCTCTTGTTTTCTGGTGTCTTAAACCTTTTGCACTTCAAACATTAACTAAAGTGATTTGCTTTTAGACTGTACCCCTTTTCATTTTTCCTATACAGTCCCTTTAAGAAGCTAGAAAATTTTGCATTTCGTTCGTTGAAAAATGGAAATGTTTGCTTTTTTCGTGAAATCTCTGGGAAAAAGGGGAAAATTTATTAAAAATATATATAATGTTCGCCAAAAAAAATTTGCGAGGGAAAAAAAATTCGCGAAAATGTTTACAAAATGCAAAAGAAAATTTTCAAATTTTTTCTCAAAAGTTTTCGTTCGCTGGAAACCCGAAAAATCTTTAACGCATCTTTTATTGTGTTCTAAAAAGATCGTATTTTCCTTTTTTTGACGTAATTTTTTAATTCAGATAAACGACAAGGACTTCAGTGTCACACTTAATGCATTTTTCGTGGTAAGATGGCAAGACAAACGACTAGTGATGGATAAAGAGAAAATAATTTTGAACTTAGGTAAGTTGTAATACGGTATTTTGCAAGGTAAATAAAGTTCGGGCCAAATTTAATGAATAGCTAACAGTAGTTGAACTATGTGTATACCACTTTTAGCTGTTTATTAAATCTTTAACAATTTTGTCAAGCTGCAGTTTTAAAGGGGGATTTTCTTCATATTTATTTCTATAACAATGTTGATGAAGATGATGATGTTAATAATAATGATAATAATGATGATTTAGGTGAAGAGGCAGAAACGTGGATTCCTGTCGATGTTTCTTTTATAAAGGAAAGAAAACCAGAACTTCTAACATTAAATTAAAAAAGTTTGTAGCTTTCTTGAATTTGCATATTTACTCCAAAATAATAAAAAATATTTGATAGATCTTGTTTGATTTGAATTTTCCAGTAAAAGTAAATTTTAATCTATAAGTAAAAACTGAAATGCTGTGTCCAGAAAGTAGAATCTCAGGTTTTTATTGTGATCAGGAGTTTTGGTTGCCCGACGCAGAGATACTCAATCTTAAAGAGTTCAAGGTAAAAGCTTGAAAAATATGGATAAATTCCATCTTAACAAGTGATTTTATTCATTGCCAATCAATATGACCTTTTTTGGGTCTCACGGTTTACCCATCAAATTATTGAATAGGTTGAAGACTGTTAGACTCAAAATATTAACTGAATATGAAAAACAGCATAAATGCAGTGCACACAATCATATTTTACACAAAAATTTAAATTACTGTTAATTCTATTAGTTTCAAAAAAATCTTCCTGGTGACTGGTGGTTATGCGTTTAAAGAACGCAAAAAAATGCTAAATAACTGATATCCCCCTCTGAAGTGGAAATATTTCTTAATTTTTGTAAATTCTTGAATTTATACTATTACAGACTCTTTTATTTAGTTTAGTTGAAAACCCTTTCTGTAGAATCTGAAAAAGGCTAATCCCTGGATTTCTCCTTAGTTCAGGGATTAATTAAGATTTAGTTTCTAACGAGCACTGAACTCTCCAAATATAGATAAATATTTCTTTGCTGCAGTTTAAAAGATTATTTCCGGTATTTTATCTTCTTAAAGGGATCGTTCATCATTCTCAATATGTTCACATTTTACAATGTTCTTCGTAATCAACCTGGATTTTAGGACGCTTCGCGCCCATCCACTATTTCAACTCTTAATTGTGGCTCTTTTTACATTAAAAACAATAAAAAAAAGTTTCCGGATTTATTCATAGTTTTTGGTTTCATAAATTTTTTTGAAAATATAAAAATGTCAAAGACACCTTTTGGTAATTCTAAGCATCTATAAACTTTTCCTGGGGTCATGTGAGGTCCCACACAAAATGTGGGCCCAAGTTGTGCAGCCGTTTTGACGTTTATTGGACAAGGGTGTATGTACTAGGTTTTCAGGGCGCTTCGCGCTAATCTTCTATTTCAATTCAATTGTATACATTTTAAAACAAAAGCAAAACAAAGTCCTCGGATTAGATAGATAGATAGATAGATAGATAGATAGATAGATAGATAGATTAAGTTTATTCCTAAAATACATGTGCCTGTGTACAAAACGAGTTTACAATTACAAATTGGTGATTATATTAACAGTATAAAGCAATTAGGTGGAAAATAGCTCTTGGCTGTTTTGATTATTTTTTCCACCTAATTTCAATAATGATAACAAAACATTTCAAGTAAATAGATTTAAGGAGAACTATTAGAGATTTAACATAAAAAATTTCAAGTATTTTCAAAATTTAATGCAAATCAAATTTTGTTGAAGGCAAATTTTTGAAATTTTCATCATCTATAAATCTTCCCTGGGGACATGTGAAGTCCCACACAAAATTGGGGCCCGAACGGTTCAGCCGTTAAGACGTTTATTGGATACAAACAATTAAACAGACAAGCAAAGTATATAGATAGATATACAGGGTGTCCCAATAAACATGGGAATTCAGTGACGTATTCGATATCGTCTTTTTAAATAATTCTTTGATTTAGTATAGTGATACCTTCTGAGAAAGCTGTAATCTGAAAGATTTTTGTCTGTTTGTTCATGTTTTGACGACATACGGTTGTACTTTGTAAATAAAGAAAATTACAATATACAAATAGAGTAAAGTTGTCCGTCTTCACTGTTCGTCATGCGGAGACATTATAGACACATCTTTACAGTCTAATTGCGGTCTCATAAAATAAACTCTAGCAGACATAATAATATTATGGCTTTTGAAATTAGGTATTACAAATTACAATGCTAATTCATAACAAAAACGATATCGAATTCGTCACTGAATTCCCATGTTTTTTGGGACACCCTGTAGATTAATAGAAATTAGGATAAAGAAATTCTGCAAAATGGAGTGTACAGAAAACCGCATGCAGAGAGGATTAATGATATGCATTGTTACTATTTACGATGCCTTTGATGTTAGAAAAAAATTAAATGTTAAACGAATAATGTAAACTAAATATCGAAGGGTTCAGTAACCTAGTGGCCATGTTTCAATTTGGAATATTTGGGTTTGGAAAAGTAAGGAACTGAGTTTTTGCCGCAAACTCCGATTTCAATTTCTTTATCTTTGTTCCCAGAGAGTTTTGGTCCATCCCCATCACCGAATTTTACTACTAGGTTGAAAGATATTGGGATATTAGAATTTATGACAAAAACTCGATTTCTCTTAACCTCTTTGCTTTTGAATTTGTTTTATCTGACATAATAAAAAGTTTTTCAACTTGATTAAAACAGTTTTATTTCAGTGTAGTATCAACATTTTTCTTAAAGTAAGATGATTTTGTAACATGTTTAGACCTTGGATGTGTTGTCTAAGCTAGAAGGACTTTGGTTAAACACTGATCTGGAAATTATGTACGCTGTGGCCACCAGGTATTTAACATGTTATACAGGATTATTTTTAAAAGTCGATTTTTTCATTTGCGCTTAATTGGATGAAAAATTTTCAATATTGAATAAGAAAATAATCCCCCAATTTCTAAAAATGATTATTGCCGAAGCAATAATGGCTACACTCAGAAAAAAAAAATACAGGTCTCCCTTAAGCAGGTCAAACAGTGTCCAAAATACGTCATTTTTCGGCATTTTCTCCAATTTTAATCATGGTTTAAGATGGGTTTTAAAAAAACCCTTGATATATGAAAAGATCTTTTAGATTACGATTCCAGCTTTTAAAATATTAAATTTGTCCTCCATGTGATGTACAAAAAGTCAAATTGTCCAAATGTTGGGTTTGAAGTTTGGAAGCCGAGAAAGATTAACAATGCAGGAGATAATTAATTTCTTTATCAAATGTCTTGTAATAACGAGTTAATAAATATTAAAATTATCTTTGTGTTGAACCTCGTTTTGCTTTGATGAACATTTTAAAAAAATCGACTATTAAAAATCACCCTGTACATTTAGAAAATATATACATTACTTTTTAAATGAATTTGGATGGCCGCTACAAAGGAACATGCTGACGTAATTTAAACACCCTTGCCTAAACAAGGATGGTGCAAATATGCAGCTATGGCTGGTGTATGCAGAGCCGGACAGTAGCAGAATACAAAACTCTCCATACAATATTATATTTGTTACCAAAAATATGTATACCTACAAAAGTAACAAATCTTGAAAGCTTGGTTTTTTTTCTTGTCAATACTTATGGTTTAGGAACACTGTAAACTTTGAGTTTCTCGCCTTTAATTTTTATGAAATTGTCCTCAATTAAATTTTTAGAATTACTTTTATCTGTCCGATGACATTCAACAGTTTTCCTCTTGATGTTCAGATCTGCCACTTTCAGGTAAAATTAGTTAGACAGTAAATATATCTACAAAGAATAAATAACTTCGAAGCTGAAATAAATTCGAAATAAGTTTATTCCATGTATTTTTTGTTACCACTGTAATCTACAATATTGTTCGAATTTTTTATTCAATATTTAATTATTCTATTCTGCAATTTTACTTAATTTAATCCTGTTAAAGTTTGCAACTTAATCAATAAAATTTTCTCCTGGAACTTAGCGAAGATTTCAATCCGTTAAAGTTTGTAATTTACTTTAATTTCATCCTAAAAAATCTTTGAATTTTTTAAAACAGGTTTTCTACACAAAGCAAATTAAAATAAAAATGACGTTCAATTTGTATAATCTATATGTATATGTCAAGAAAAGATAGATTTTTAAACATAGCCGTATCTTTTTAAATGGCCTTGAATGTTTTATTAAAAGATAAAAATTCAAAATTGTTAAAAGGGTTTCTAATTTGTGATTAAAAAACAAAGCAGAGATATTTTTACTATTTTTAATGTAAAAAGACGAAGTAAAGATACGTTTTGATATTTTAATATTTCAAATTTATAGCAATAAGTATTAATACCCTGTTTAAACTAAACCCTATCGGTTAAAACCCACTATTTATTTACCACTGCAGTACAAACTACGGCTGTAGATTTAAAATGTTATAAGAAATCCTGAATTCGATTGGATTAATATGATTGCTTCTCATCTGCCGGGTTTGATGCTGCTCGCTCTGATTGGTTAAAGAAAGCATCTTTCAATAAAGTTAGAACAAATCAAAATACACAATACACAATACACAATATATATATACACAATACATAAATACACAATATATTTATACAATATATATACACAATACACAATTATCTCTGAAGAATAATCGTAATTGAAGAGGATGTAAAAATATATCGAAAATCCTTTGTGTTAACAGCTTTCGTGCAGTACCTAATTACTAACCCACTCCCACCTTTCCCCTATTCACTTAGGTTTTAATATTGTGTAATGTGTACAATAAACTCATTGATACAAATAGCAAGGTCATAATTGACACAGTACAAGGTTTGTCCAAGAACAATGTAAAGGAAACTTTACACAGAGAAATCGATTGGATTACCATGGTACTTAAAATACAAGGAATACAAATACAACCAATCATTGAACCACAAATACAAATACAAATACTTCTTTCATCAAATGTTTTGGTTTAATTTCTTAAAACAAACTTCAATTTTCAAACTCGGACATAAACATTATCTCAATGTGCTTTTAACAGATAATGGATGAACAATGCTCAACATTGATTGTATGAATTTGAAATACAGGATAACCAATCTTTTAAGATTAAACGCACTACATTTTTCGGAACTTTTTTCTAAATTCTCATTTGTCAAAAATATTTTCAGCCCCAATTATTCTTGAGTGACTGGATCAAACTGAGTGGTATAAATGAAGTTCATTCCAGGTTTATTATCTTGGCATATTATCTTGCGACAGAAAAGATAGAAAGATTGAAAGCTAGACCAACGCAATTCTGCCTCAAGCAATCAAATCACAAAACTATTTGCAGAAACATTTAACTAAAGAAAGATTACTAAAGTCTATATTTTTTCGTAGAGCGTATAGTTTAAAGAGAACATCAGGCAAAACAGATTTGAAATTAGTAAAACTTATTATATCGGACAGAAAAAGAACAGTCTATGTTCGAGGATAGGCAGTAAATTTTTGGGGGATCCTTGATGTGTTCGTTCAAGAATTACAGTGGGGTGGGGTGGCTAGTGTTGGTATCCAGATTGGTGTCACGGGTTCGATTTGGGGTTCCAAAATCAAGTCAAATCTGGTTAACCTGAGCATAGTAGAGTGCAGGAATTTTTCTGATAAACTGGAATGAGGCACAGGTCCCTTTCAGATAGGAACCATCACACTCATTGCTCCCAATCATTTGTAAGCCCGGATTGGATACCTCCAGGCAACCATAGACTCTCCCTTCTTGTTAACCTTTCCTCTCTTCATCATCATTCACTTGGATCAATCCATTTTAAGCTTCTTTCTTGTTCAGTAGTTAAAAAGCACGCACCCTTTCGCTACGAGAGAGATGTTGACAGCCGCCCCTATATCCTCCTACATCTGTCAGGCCTAAGAAGCCCTTAGGCAGCTGGAATCTTGTCAGCCCTCTCTCAGAATAAATGAAGCGTAGACGGATGCATGTGCTGCCAAATTACAACCCCCATGGCAGATCAATACAAAGCTCCGACAAAACCAAACTTTCGCAATAGAAAAAAATCCGAGATTCGATCGTAACAACCCGATCATGTCCTGGGGACAAAAACATCTCTTTTTTAAAAAAGAATCACAGGCAATTACGTTGACAATCATTTTTCTATCATTTTTCTCCTTCATTTGTTAGTTGCATAAACTGCTATAATGAGTTTCAAACTTTGATCGTATTCAAATCCTTTACACCGATTACTTTGTCTAATTTTACCACAACGCTAACATATTCCTCTTTCATATGAGTTTATCATGAATAAGTAAATTAAGTTGTTAAATAAATAAAAAGAACAGCACTAGGGCAAGGTTTATTTGAATAGCTTCTTGTTAATAATTCATTAACACATATATATGGGTGTACCTTCTGCGCTCTTTATTTTCATTCACTTTAATGATATTGTACCCCCCCCCCTCTACCCATGTCAAACTAAAGTAAAGTACACGTAAGAATGAAATCTTATGTTTTTAATAATAACTCCTATTATTCAACAGCTATTTTAAAGAGCAAAAATGTTTTAGATATCTTTTTTGTAACCTGATAGATTTACTTCTTTCATACTTGAACGTAAGCTTAAAACTAGAGAATCTACCAAGTCGCAAAGTCGTACCAGTGGTGTTGCATAAATTTTACCTTCTCCTCCTGTTTAGTTTACAGTGCCCCCCCCCCCCCCGCCATTAGAAATGTTTTTATTATCGTGTTGTGCATAAACATCAACGCAAATACTGATTATACGTAGTCTAAATTATATTTATCTTGCATCATAAACCAAATTCCCCTCCCCACTGATTATGTCTGCAGCAAGAGTCTAATACTATCCGAAACATTAGCTGTTACTTATCTTTATTATAAGCGTCTTGATGCTAACAATCATACATTTATCAAAGAAAACACAACATTACATAGTTTATATTATGTCAGGAAATAGAAAATATGCAAACGTACAGTCAACAAAGTCTAACAAAGCCTAATTATTATATAAAACAAAGCAGAACAACGTTCATGACCAATTAATATCCTATTGAAAATAGCAACATATGTGTTAAAAAAGGGGAGGGGACTATAATTCCCCATTTTCATGATTAAAAATACAGTTTTCATATTTTTATAGGCAATTCACAACGCCCTATGCCACAAACAATGAGCAATGAATACATGACTAAAGACAAATTTAACCACGATTATCAATTACAATAGGTGGCAACAGAGAAATGAACCAATTATGCACGAGTCACAAGTGTCAAATATTATAAGGAAAACGAAATTTTCTCACTTTAGTTGACATGTTTTCAAAGATTAAATAAATAAGTGTAAACACAGAAAATCAAGAAAACATGAATTTGCACTTATTTACTGTAAGATTCGGTACTGTAAATTCTAAAATTATCACTATTATTAATAATTTAGTCGGACACAAAAACTAAATTTACACTTGTGACGTAAGAATACAGCTGCACTACGTTGCCCTCTATTGAACTAGAATCTATTTGCTCTGATCTAACTACACATATTTATCTTTAAATAAAAGAAACAAGCTTTATTTAAAATGCATAAACTATGTTCTTAATTTTAAAATTTAGTTTTATCTCATAATTCCAGCCATTCCAGGTTGCATTGAAAATTCACGAGCATAAATCAGAATATATTTCCAAAATTCTTTTAAAATGATTGCTCTCAGAAGTATTACAAAATTAGAAAGTTTTATAAGAAAAAGAATAACTTTTGCTTTTCTGATTTTACCGTTGCACAGTAAATTAGCCATTTTAGAAGCAGATAAGAAGACGAAAAAGAAGAAGGAAAAAGGATGCAAGAAAATTATGATTGAACTTTTCCAAATACCTTCTATTTTGATAAAAAAAAATCTAACTTTTGTCTTAAAGGGACAGACTGGCTATTAAAGATAGTTAATATGAGAATGCAGTGTTTTGGACAAATTCTTTGGGATTCATTAGAGACATATTAAACTTTTTAAAGATCTGTAAATCCTGAGTTTAAGCGCAAAGTCAACATTCAAAATCGTACTTTTTGGTGGATACGTTTTCAGAATTGTTTTTTTTTTTAATTATTAAATAATGGCGAGAAAAAATGTAAACAAAATTTTATAGTAAACTAATTAGTTGTTTAGGAACAGGTTGAGAAAATAAAAATTAACTCTAATCATCAAGAACAAGTAATCTTATTCAATTATTAGTTTCTATAATCTCTCTTTAATCACAAAGATTTTCTTGAATTTTTATAAAAAGACGACATTTGAAGAATTTGAAGAAATCTGCGAAAAATTCATAGAAAATAAGAAATTCAATATAATGATGAAAAAGGAAATAATTAATTTTAACTTCAATTTATTGACAAATTTCTGTTGAAAAATATGTTCCTAAATATCTAATAAGTTTATTATATAATTTTTACTATATTTTTCGTCGTCTTATTTAATAATAAAAAACCGATTCTGAAAACGAATCCACCCAAATTCATGATTTTGAACGTCGACTTTGCGCTCACACTCAGTAATTACACATTGTGGAAACGTTTCATATATCTGAAATGAATCCTAAAAAATTTGTCAACAACACTGCATACTCAGTTTAACTACCTTACATAGCCGGTCTGTCCCTTTAAAAAATCAAGAATATGTAACGGCATTGATGAAACCGCGAATGAAATAGTTTTAAAAGTTTAAAGTTAGAAATGATTTAATAGATTTTGTTAAATTTATTACAATAACAAGTATCGCTCAAAACAATCACATTTTTTAATTTATGAAGCACGGACCATGGACCTGCATTCAATGTGCGCTGGTTCAAGCTGAAAAAAATGGTTGAACTACTCATACGCGGCTCAACCATGGCTCGCTCTTCATTAAATCTGGTCCCAGTATGAGAAGATTTAATGAATATTTTTAACAATTTATTTTGCAATTAAAAATTTTAGAAAAATTTTGAAAAACAGTAAGTTTTTTTCTGACTTGTATCTTCATTTTAGTTTTGCCAGGAATGTCTGACTCAACAACTGATTGACGGTTCAGGTTCAAATATAAATTCATCGTTCAAAATTCTGAGAATATTTTACTTAGAATTCCGCCTTAATAATGACAAATGGAATAAGAAAGTCTAGAAAAGGAGTGGATATTTCCGACAGAAGAATTTTGGTTCTTGTTAGTTCCTCTTGGACATAGTGCTTAAACTGGAGAGAGTTATAAAAGAACCTGACTGTTCTGAGCTCCCTTGATGTTTACATATATAACCAGATTCAATCGAAAGAATTAATAACAGCTAACCGGGCTTGATATTACGGAGTTTATTTAAAGCAGCCAGTAGCAAAATCTGGATCCAGCTAGGTAAAAACTTCCATTCTCCAGGTTAATACAACGTTAAAAGATTTATGCAGGCCTTCAATGTTTCTTGTAGTTCCGTTTTTTCTTTTCAATTTGTGTGCAAGGGTGTAAACCCCCCATATACACCCCTGGTTAAAGTTTCTCTAAATTGCCTTTTTCTCTCTCTCACCCTGTATCTCTGAATACTTTATGAAGCGCCTCTCAAGACCTAGTTGTTACCTCTCTAAAAGCTGAATGTACATTTTACACTGAGTCACTGAGATTTAATGAGCGAGACCGGTTTGACAATTTTCAACCGCTTCACTTGATTCGGTGCAAAAGAGAAGTGGTTAAACTAGGTTTTTGATATTTCTTACTGTTCTTTAAATCTGGTTTGGGAGGCTTGGTAAAATATATGTTTGTTTGCACTGTATTAACCTATATATGTATAGATAAATAGAGAGATGATGATGGAAAGGACCAAATGATAAAGAAAGATTATTGTATCTCTAAAAGCTGATTTCTGAATATGCGGATGCAGGGTAAAAAAGGGAGGCGTACCGTGAGGTATTCTGGGGGGATTGGTTGTAAAGGATTAAGTATATAAGATGAAGGGCTGGGGATATTGAAAGAACCCACTGAGGCTGCCCTTATCACCTCCCCACCCTCCCCACTTCCCGCAAACACCAACGAGTGAATATATTAAGATTGATCTAATATTCTTGCAGGGGACAGAAAAATCAATCTTTCACAGACTTTTTTACTCCCTACCAATCCTGATTTTTTAATGTAGTTAGAGTTCACATTTTTATGGCCATTAGAGCTTAGATTTCAAAAGAAGGTTTGATGTGCACGCAGGATGTCAGAGGATTTGGTTGTTAAAAACACATCATAAGTAATAATGTTCATTTTTTTGGTAAATAATGAATAATTGGGAAACTATTTTGGTGAAATTTTAATTTGCATTAGTATTTAAAATCACAACTTGGACCCTTTCAGATCCCGTTTTAAAGTTTTTTTTTTGTTGGAAACAAACCAACAAATAAGTATACATATATTCCTTGAGACTTCATGGCCCGTATTTTCAGTAATAATTTTTTTGTGTATAAAAAATCCATTTAAAAAAAATTAAGATTATTCTGAGCGATTTAAAATAGTTCTTGAAAGAACAATTTAATAAATTGCAAACAGTTCTACACAATCTTAGATCCTTCGTGATGGAACGAAATTTGTTTGTTCACATACATTTTGTCTGAAAACGAAATAATGCCCAAACTCTAGCAATGATAAATATATCGAAGATCTACGACATCAAGTTGCAAAGATTTTCAGAATATAGAACAGATATAAAAATTTACTAGAAAATTTAAAAAAAATATAAAACTACCCCCCCCCCCCCTTCCGACCCAGTCAAACTCCATTAGATGGGGAAATGTGAAAATAATATTTTCATGTGAAAATGATGTTTACAGTCTCTTTCCGAACTATCCTAAATTTACCCTCTTATCAAATTATCTAAAGATTAGGTTTAAAGTATTGTCCTTGCACCATCAGATGCTAAAATGCTATAAAGTAGAGAGAGATGCAACCCCGAGGAAAATATAACAGATGTTGCAACTTTTGCGCTAATTTACAATGCCTAAACTCATCAACAATTAAAACTTGTCTTTCTAATCGATGCAAATTCGTGAAAAAAAACATCCGATTGGTCGGAACTTTCCAGATAACTGCCCCCCTCCCCATACACACACAGGATTAGGGCTTTATGAATGGTTTAAAAATGAGGATTTCTATATAGACTTTCATTTAGAAAAGTGCGTTGCAAATATAAACAATTTTCAGCCTAAGCTGAGCCAGGCCTAAGTAGGTAAATAAAAATATGAGAATTCCTAATCTATCTTCTTTCGTAACTCAGAGATAAAAATATTGGGTTTTGGTTTTAAGATGAACAAACTTAATATTATTTTTTCAAGTTCTGAGCAAAAGAATATTTTTAAAGATGACCCAAAATTACACTTAAAACATGTCTAATTCAAAAAGTCTAGAATGAATTCATTAACATTTTTATCCTTAGAGATTCTGAATAAAAGAGGGCTAATTTTGGATTATTTTGGTCTCTTTTGGTTCTTTAGCAACAACACTTTATGTAGCATTTCCCAGTTGGATCTAAAAGCATAGTCGCATATATACTTATAATGGTTTAAAGGACTTGCAACGGACAGTTTACAAAATTAACTAAAGTTTTATTAATGTAAAACATTTTTCAAACATGAATTCAGAAAATATGGGAAAATACTACTTTTTCCCTCTAATTCAATTATTTTAAGTTAATCAGACATGTTTTCATTTCCGGAGGTGATTTTTGGAGATCACGACCTTCAGGATCATCTGAGGTCAAAAAAAGGTCTCAGAAAGGAATCCGAACACCAAAATACCTATGATTTGATGATTTGACATGACCATTGATTTAATATTTTGACCTTTTTAGAGGTCATTATTGAAGGGTGTTCAAACTTAAGGTCGTGTGTCAATATCAGCACATAATTTATGGGTTAGCAGAAAATATGAAAACATGTCTAAATTCATGGAGGTCAAAATTGAGAGCAATGACCTCCAATCTCAGATTCTGGTCCATGTAAATGACCACAATTAGAGAGTGCATGCAAAATTTCAGCCTACTATCTCAATAATTAGGACCAAATACAGCCTGTAAAAAAATTGGTGTCACAGAGTGTCGAATTGCCCCCCCCCCCCCACTTTAGCTAATAATTCATAATTTGGTCTAAAACTAGAAGTTAATATTTGATAAAAAATTTCCGTTTATATTGTTTTAGTTAAAATGCAACTATAGGCTCGTAAGATTAGTGTTATGCCATGGTCAATGATTATGATGATTTACGTACATGTCTTCATAACGAAACATACCAATATTATTTATACAAAAGAATAATTCCCTCAACAATGTCTGAGTGATCAGCTTAAGAAAAAAGTATGATTAAAAATTAATGATAATGATAATTATCATTAAAGCCCGGCCCCCCCCCCACTTCTCCTTCCTTACACCCTCAAAGGAAAACAAATAAAATGTTCCGTACATATTGAGGTTTATGCAAATACACGATATCATTACACGTTTACTTATAAAACATGGAAAGCACAAACTAAATACCATTAGAAGACCAGCCGTCCTCGCAATACCATACTAACAACCAATAATAGTTTGAAATTATGAAGTCTCAGAAACTTATTGAACTGTTGTGCAAAACAGGATTTCTTCCCATCAAGAAGGATATGGATGGAAATGTTAGGATGCATTTTTTTGGGCCCATGTTTCTTTTTGTGAATGCAATAAGAGTGGGTGCTTTTATCGCTTATGTTTATTTTGGCGTTCTTGACTTATTTGCTGAAGGAATGGAAATGAATATGAATGATATGCTGATACTGATGGCTCGACTGGTTGGATTAATGAGCGGAATGGGAAATGCTCTGATCGCTGGGTTTACTGCGAAACGTCTTGGTCCAAACACGTTTACAGGTACTAGTGAGATGTCCTGGAAAGCTTGGTTTTTAATAGTGTTTTTAAACGCTCAATTTGCTTCTGGTACCATCATACTGCAGACCCCACTATATTCCAAGGCAGAGATAAATATTTTTAAACATTTTAAAAACAAACTTATTTTATCACAGTTTACTGAATACAAAAAATTTTCTTTTTGCCATAAATCTATAAATTAGTTTCAAATTCCTTCATAATTGGATTAAAAAGTTTCAATCTCTGTTCAAAGGAGCAATCCATGATAAGCTATATTCTTCTTGTTGGGTCTGTTGGAATACTTGTTCCAATTGCTTTTGCCGACTATGTCGTCTCAATGGCTGGATGCTATTCATGGATTTCTGATTTGAAAACTAGACTCATATCTGCTCTCTCTAAGCCAAAAGTTGAACTGGAAGAGTTTCGAAGTATTGAGAAGGATGCTAGCCTGGTCTACAGTTCTCTAGAACCCTTTTCTTTCATGATTTTTAGCATGAATCAGATGTTTTGCATCATCTCAGTTTATCTTTCTGTTCGAGGTGAAACCATTTAGAAAAATATATTGCTGTATATATGGTGAAAATCTATAAATTTGAACAGCTGCTTCAATACTAAATTATATTTATAGACTTCCATCTTTTGTTATTTTTGATTTTTAATTTAATCATTTAAATTTTCAGGAGGTTCTTTGTACAGTAAAACTTGTTTGATACACTTTACAGCCCTTTATGCAGTTTTGAATTCAGTTGTAAATGTTATTGACGATCTTTACACCCTAAATGATGATATTGCTCGAAAAGCCGAGGAAGATTCACTTCGCCAATCTAGCCTTAGAGAAATGTTAAGGTGCAATTTAGAAATTAAAAAAAATGAATATTTACAGCTTGCACCGTGGTTCATGTTGTTTAAAACCACCTAGACCAAAGCATAACATACAGTTTCATATTACTTTAAAATTCAATTTTGATGCTTAAACCGGTTTAAAGGTAAAAATTCTACAGTGCTCTTTGATTCAAAATAATTGGAAAATCAATGTTTGGGAATTAAATTAATTAAAACAGTTAAATATTTCATATGTGCACTTGCTTAACACCTTCATTGGATTTAGCACAGACTAAAGCTGGGACAGCAAGCTTAATCTAACTGCTTTTATAAATGCATACACTTTGCAGTACACTGATAGTGATTCTCAAAAAGGGTTTTATGATAGAAAGATATGTTTGATAAATAAACTTTTAAAAAATTGATAAACCATCATATAATGAGTTAACAACCTGCAAAGGGTATATTTTGACCGTTTCTTCGAGCTACTGTCCCTTCAAGAGTATTTAAATATGTTTCATTATCAAACTAACATTTAAAAACATGTTTTTAGCTTCAGACAAGCAGGGACTAACCTACGAAACCTTGGATTGATCACTGGTATGGGGTACTTCACTATAGAACGAAATACTTTGACAGCTATGCTATCCATCACACTTACTTACCTTATTGTACTCCTTCAAACATTCTAAACCTATTTATGAATTGTAATGAATAAATGTTAAAACACTTCTGAAATAAACGCCCAAATACAAATGTCTAAAATAACCCTTGAAGAAAAAAACTCTGAAAGAGACAAAACCCTAAAAGTTCGAACTCCTGAAATTAACTTTTCCACAAAGCTGGAACCCCTAATGGATTATTCTGAACACAACTCCCAAAACGTTCTGTGTAGCATAACAACACAAGGCAATTTAAAAAGCTGGGAACTCTTGTATTGTGTTATTGAGATCAATGTTCGATATCAATCTTATTTATCTGTAGATAAATTTAACCTTTATTCGATATCCTTTATGGTAATCGTACCCAGTTAAAGGTTGAAGGAAGATTTAATAAGGCAGGTAATAACTGAAATAAAATATGGAAAGGTGTAATTTTTTATAGATCCTCCAATTATAATTTGCACTTGCCATATCCCCTTATGACTGTTTTGATATCCTGACCCAAGGATGTAATGCAAGGAAAGTTATTTCAGAAGTGTACACATCTTTTGAACTGCAGTGTACTGTCTCTGGGCGGTAATGTAAACACAGGACGGATGTCGAAGCCTGAAATAGGATCCATCTTTCACATAGAAAATCAATGAAATATTCTGGTCATAGGAAACTAATATGTAAATTATCAAAATTTTCAAAATTTAATGCTTTTAATCTCCTCGGATACTAAACGAACACTGATGCATCTGTTCTTGTTTACAAATTCCTCCCAAAGAGGACTGGTTTCAATATGTACACAGAGTATACACGACCGCAATAAACTTTCCTTGCCTTACATTCTTGTCCTGACCATTGAAGCATTTTGAAACATCTTTAGTCTTCAAATTATCTATATATTTACGATTGTATACACTAACATTATTGGATCTAGAGAGAAATGTTCTTTTTCAAAAGATATATTTTTAATCTCTTGAGAGGTTAAATATCATATTTAAATTGATGCCTTCAAACTTTTCACATTTAATTTTGTTTCTTTTAAAGTGTTTAAATTATAGAGGATTTGAGTCAGACTCTAATAAAAACGCATAAATAACTTCCAGTATATATATTTCTTATACCTTATTGCTAGAGGGTTCAGAACTAGAGTCAATATCGATATCACACGTGTAGATGTTTATCAGAACTATGCCCCGTATCTGTTCTCTCTCATTCTGTTGAATCTTGTGGAACTTGTTTAACGCTGAATTTTTAAGGTTTTCATAGAACAGATTTGTTGGAGGATCTTGTACTTCTAGGAACTGGCCAGGCAGGGTTAACTTGGAACCATAAACAGCCTCAGAGGTGGAGTCTTCTCTGGGAGATGTACATAAACCTAATAGAACCCATGGCAGGTGTTCAAACTAATTGGAGGAGGCTAGACGAGCACGTAGGGAATTCTTTAACTGCCTGTGGAACCTTTCCACCATGCTGTTGGACTGAGGGTGGAAGGCTGTGGTGGTCTTGTGCTTGATCTTGAGTAGGGAGCAGATGGCGGACCATAGGGATGAAGTGAACTGGGCTCCTCTGTCACTTGTAATCACTACAGGTACGCCAAACCTTGAGATACATCCATGGAACATGGCGGAGGCACACTCCGCCACAGAAATCGCAGTTAGAGGTATAGCCTCAGGCCATCTTGTTGATCTGTCGATGCATGTGAAGAGGTATGTAAAACCATGAGATGAGGGTAAGGGACCAACAAGGTCTAGATGCACATGTGCAAATCTTCTGAAGGGTACAGGAATCTTTTCAGGGTGAATGTGAACATGGCGGAGGACTTTTCCTCTTTGGCACTGCAGGCAGGACTTGCACCAGTCACGGACGTCGTTGGCTAAGCCCCTCGAGACAAACCATGTAGAAATAAGACGTCTGGATACCCGAACTCCAGGATGTGATATTCCATGTAAGGTGGAGAAAATGTTAAACTTTTGAGAAGATGGAACCAAGGGGCGGAGAACCTTCGTCTTTGCGTCAAAGAGCAGCAAACCATCCTGTACTGGAACAGTTATGAGGCGGAGGGTGGGGGAAACCTTTAGGCCAAGTATATCAGGGCAGGACAGCTGTACTTTGGCTAATTCTGAAAAATTAATCACTGAAGAAGTTGGAAAAGGTGATGGAGTTGTTGAAACTGAAACCTCAGACACCTCCAACACTGCCGACACCTAAGACACCTCCGACACCGCCAACACCTCAGACACCTTAACTCCAGGGGAAGGAGGCAGCTGTGGAGCAGGGGGAGATTTTGGAGGAGGACGGGAGAGATTGTCGGCCACTACATTTTCAGCTCCAGGTGTATGGCGGAGATCACTGGTGAATTCTGAGATATAGGATAATTGGTGTTGCTGGCGGGTGGACCATGGCGGGGAAACACATGAGAGAGCTGATACCAGGGGAAGATGATCAGTCAGTATATGAAATTTTCTTCCTTCCAACTCAAAGCGGAAATGGCGGAGAGCAAGAAACACTCCTAGGAGTTCTCTATCGAAGGCGGAGTACCTCTGTTGTATGGTGGAGAGCTTGGCAGTGAAGAAAGCTAGGGGGCGCCAACCACCTGACTCTTTCTGCTGTAGAGCTGCACCCACGTGTGTGTTGGAGGCATCAGTGACTAGTGACACCTCGGCGGATGGAGAAGGATGTGTAAGAGACATGGCCGAAGAAAGGGCGGATTTGGCTCTATCAAAGGCGTCTTGTAACTCCTGGGACCAGTTAAGAACCTGAGGATTTCCAGCTAGGGCATCAGTGAGAGGGCGGAGAGTTCTTGCAATCCCAGGTAAAAAACTGCGGTAAAAGTTGATCATGCCTAGGAACCTCTGGAGACCACGTACATCCTGGGGATGTGGTTGGAGGAGTAGGGCATCTACATGATGACGTAGGGGAACAATGCCAACAACAGTAATCTTATGTCCCAGGTACTCAATCTTGTGTTGTACAAAACTACACTTATCCAGGTTCAACACTAATCCGTTCTGAACCAGGAGCTCTAGGACAACCCGGAGATGCTCGATGTGGAGTTTCCTGGTCTGACTGGCAATCAGGACGTTATCCAAGTAGATGAAAACAAAGGGTAATCCTCTAAAGATCCTGTATATCAATTGTTGAAATGTTTGAGCTGCATTTTTCAGTCCAAACGGCATATATAAAAACTCAAACAATCCAAATGGAGTCACAATGGCAGTTTTACAAATATCTGCCTCACTCATGGGAACCTGATTGTAACCCTTCACTAGGACGAGTTTGGAGAAAAACTTGCAACCTCTTAAATTGTTTGTAAAATCACTAATGTTAGGGAGAGGATACCAGTCTGGTCAGGTAACATTGTTTAAACAGCGGTAATCGCCGCAAGGACGCCAGGATCCATCAGATTTTTGAACCATATGTAGAGGTGAGGCCCAAGGACTATCGGAATAACGGATAATCCCTGCCGATTCTAATTTTTGGAACTCAGCTTTAGCTTGTGCTAACTTAACTTGATCCAAACGGCGGGGGGGAGCCTATAACGGTTGTCCTTCTGTTTCAATCACATGCTCCACGTTGTGCTCAGGGAGTTTACCAGGTGTTTGTGGATTCCAGGCTGCAGGGAACTCATCCAGGAGAGAGGCAACATCAGGGGCGAGTTTACACACAGAGGCAACGAAGGAATCGGCGGGAGAAAACCTAGGCGGTGCAAGAGGTTCAAAGGAGAGACTTTGAAGAACTTGGCGGTTCTTGGTGTCGACTAGGAGGTCAAACTCTGCCAGGAAGTCTGCTCCCAGGATTGGTTGGTCCACGTTGGCGAGGAGGAACTGGAACTGGAAACGGTCGGGAACCAAACTGTAGAGGAATCAATCTGGAACCCCAAGCTTTAGTTGGCTGTCCATCAGCCATTAGGATGAAGGGGGCTTTTCGGTGCAGCTGAGGAACGATGAGGAAACACAGATCTTGACGCTCCAGTGTCAACTAAATAATCACGGTTTGACAGGGCATCTTGAAGGTACACGAGATAACCGCCGACAGGAAGGCTGTTTAATTTTTCCTCCTCCCGTCAGCTCTGGCGTTTCCCTGGAAACTGCAAGGAGGGCGACAATTGTTGGCTGCAGGACCAAAACGTTTGTGGAAATAACACTCAGAGTTTGATGGACCTGGGGTTTGACTAGAGCGGTTTGGTGATGGGCTTCTGCGGTCATGAGCTCTACCACGTGATGGGGAAGATGATGAGGTTGATTCTGCGGCTAGGAGGTAATCAGTAGGTATAGCTTTCCTGGCGTCCCACAAACTATCAGCGTATAACGCCATTTCACTAGGGTTTTTGAATTCCCTGGAGACTAGATGGTCTCGACGGGCAACCTCTCCAGAAATAAACCTTGGAACAGGCAACCTGGTTTCTTGTCCTCTGGGAGAAGGGCCAACATTGTGTCCATGAGAGCAGTAGGGCGGTGGTCTCCCAGCCCAGGGTGATGAATTAGTTTGGAAACCTTTTGCCAGCGTGATAGAGTATATGAGGAGACAAGCTTGGCCTTTAAATCCTCGTAAGGGGTTTCTGAGGAGGCAGCAGAACCCATGATCAGGCCGCGTACCAAGACCATAATCTTCTGGGGAAGCTTCTGGACGATGTGGTCGAATTTGGTATGTTCAAAGTCAGGGGTCACCAATATAGAGGACGTGAGTCAGACTCTATTAAAAACGCATAAATAACTTCCAGTATATATATTTCTTATAACTTATTACTAGAGGGTTCAGAACTAGAGTCAATATCAATATCACATGTGTAGATGTTTATCAGTACTATGCCCCGTATCTGTTCTATCTCATTCTGTTGAATCTTGTGGAACTTGTTTAACGGGGCCAGGCATCGTCTTCCACAAAATCTCTGATAGTAATATAATTGGAAACATTTGAAAAAAAAATAAATACTTTAGACTCTTTGTTGATTACAGTGCATGAAAGTTATTACTTCTTGTTTAGCCAACAAGAAGCGTCCTGAATCACTCTCACTAGATTGGGAACTGATAGATTGTGTCCGTGTTTGACAATGATAGTAAAGAGATAGATTGTGTCCATGTTTGACATTAATAGTA